GTATGTGACTCCCATGCACATAAACCAGATGACTGTCAAAACAACTGCAGACAGGTACTGTATGCACATGGATATGCATACATGCATGCATGGATACACGTAATCCAATCTAAACATGACCTAGTAAAAGAAGCTAAATGTGCATGTGTGCAACTGGAAAAAAGAGAGAAAAAAGGAGATGAAAACAAGGAAGGAATGTTTCCAGTGGATCCAGGTAGAAATGTGGTGTTGTGGTATGGGAACAGGGTCCTGCTGGACCTTAGGGAGGTGCTGGTGAGCTCCCTTGGCCCTGCTGAAATTCTTCCCTTCTGCAGACACACTGAGTCAAAGCAGCCTGGATCTATCTTACAAGCCCTTTCTCCTCCCCTTCACACTTCTTCTTCTTCTTCTTCACTCCCCTATCCTCTCTCCTCCTCCTCCTCCCAGCCCTTCCCTTCATCCCCCTCCTCTTTGCCAGGCCCTATGGGTGCATTGCCACGTTGCTGAGTGAACTTATTAGAGTGAGGGAGAGAAAGAGAAAAAAATGAAAGTGTTAAGCACCTCCACGTGGGCTGATGCTTCTTCTCCATTTGTGCCTTCTTTCTGCATGTCCATTTTTCACTTATTGCTCTTATGTATGTTTGTGGTCAAGCCAAAGCCTTTATAACTCTTGCCTGTGTTTGTGTGTATGTGAGTGTATGGTGCTTGAATTGTAGAGTTTCCAGTCTTAGCCTTAAAATTTCCCCACAAGAAAAACTTCCTGAAGCATATGACATTCCTACAATGTCTTATTTGACAAATGGAAATTAACCAACTTGAAGCTCCTAATATTTATATATTTGATATTCATTTTATACATCCTACCTGCAACAGATTGGAATGTACCCTGCCTCTTGCCCAGCGTTAGCTGAGATTGGCTTCAATACCCCCATGACCCTCTTCAGGATAAGTGATATAAATAATCAATGGATGGATGACTCTCATTTTATATACTCACACAACAGACATAGTCTTCATCATTTTGCTATACATTATTGCCATCTAGTGGACATTTCATTAACATCACAAATAACTGGTATAACTTGACTAATGTTGGCGTGCTTATAGAGACTGAACTGCATGAGTACATAAACACACAAGTTCGTCTTGAGAAATAAAAATCCAAACCGTCCTTTATCACTTATTAATTCAGACTTAAAAATCACTACCAAAGCCCTAGCCACTAGAATAGAGACAGTCACCCCAATACCAATCCACCCAGACCAGGATTAATACTGTTTCATTAAAAACAGGAATGCTTTAGACAACATCCGTAGATTATTTAATTTAATTAATCTTGCACAACAAAAACAAACCAAAACCATAGTTTTATCACTAGATGCAGAGAAAGCATTTGACAAAGTTAACTGGACATTCCTCTTTTGTACATTACGCAGATTTGGGTTTGGAGAGTCGTTCATCCATTGGATAAGAACACTGTACACATCACCTAGGGTGACAATAAGTGCAAACGGGATCAGGTCACAAAGTTTCATTTTACAGCAGGGTACCAGACAAGGATGCCCACTCTCACCATCTCTATTCGCCATTTTCATCGACCCTCTCGTAGCTATACGACAGAACAATATAATTACTCAGAACACAAAATTAGTCTTTATGCAGATGATTTATTATTATATTTACAGGATCCCTATAATTCTCTACAGGAAACTTTACATATTATTAACCCATTTTCTAAGATTTCAAACTACACAATAAACTGGAATAAACCCACCATACTACCACTCTCTGAGGATGCCTGGGATTCTGCAGCTCAAGACTCCTCCCCC